AAAAAAATTGGCTTTAAGACATTGGATGGGCGGACTACTGAATGACGCGTATTTTGACGTGTTGTTTGTTTAGTCGAGAACTGTAGCTCGAATGGGAACTCGGGATGACCCGGACGCGAGGCGAGGTCCATGCATAGACCGTGTCAGGTGACGGCTCGATATGCAGTCATTATGCATTTCGTCCGACGTTGAAACGTTAACTCAGAACTGGTACGGTCAAGTGAATTCTGACTGTCTCGCTCCTATAAGATAATGTCAACATTATACCGTCTATGGTTAGAAGGGGTTATATCACATGAAGTAGCTAATGCTTATGAGAGTAAAAAATGTTTGATTTACAGTAGTATCCATCCACTCGTTTTTATAGCTTAATATTCCTTTCGGGTAGTGCAGGAACAATTCAGGAGCATATGCCAATGATATGATTTCTGTCTTCAGAGAATTAGACAAAGTCATTTACGCGCTAACTTCTTTCGATGCACTCGAGCCTTTTCAATTTGGTATGCCTCTTGGCCGCGTTTCATGCAGGTTCACGAAGACAGTCCGCCTTGGTATCACATCTCTAGTATCCTGATCACATCAGAATGGGAAATTTAATTTTTAAAAGCTTTCGCACTCTTGATAGATGTTTATTTCAGATTTAAACAATGGTAATAGTAGGTTTGGAGTCGCGTGACGAAAGTTCTATTCTATTTTCATAGATTCGATCAGTTTTGGTGGCCGCTTATTTGACCGCGATGATCCTATGATGTTTGACAACCGCGTCAAACGGTGCTTCAACTTTCCAGATCCTGAAAGTGCTTCTAGCGTTTTAGCTTCGGCAGAAGTTTGGGGTTAAAATCCTTCGATCTACTTGCCCCAGGTTATTTTTGGCCGCTCCCGCGGTATTCGACCAGTCGATCTGGCAAACGATGGCTGTTTTGCCTTCCTTTCTAGAGGCATTCAAAAAAGTGCACAAACCATCACAGCTGTTACTTTTCAATCTAAAGAAGCAGCAGGTGTGTACCACGACTCTCTCGAATATCTGTAACATGATCAGACGAGACTCATGATCCATGCAGTTCGTCTCAGAAAGCTCATTTCAGCTGCTTGCACAGGGATCGAAGCTTTTCAGTTATGGCCCATGAGTTATCACAGTAGATGAGCATCGACTTAACACAAAAAAGCTTAGATTTCAGGCTCAGCACTGCTCTAGTCACAGAGACTTAGGATAGTTCACGTGGAACGCTGCTGGCCATTCCATTTCGCCTGTCGATTTCTTCTTCCCATTTTTCATAATAGGCAAACGCGATTCAGAAGTACATGAATTTCTTCACATGTTCCACTGCTTCTCTATTTGTCTACGAGACAGCACTGAGCGGTTCGTTTCTGCTCTGTCTTCATTGAAATTGTCCACTGAAATTGCATGAT